CTAGTGTGTGAAGCGTCATCACACCAAAGGCATCTTGGACAATATCCTTGTTTTGAAACATTCTTCGAATTGTTTGTAGAAGTATTCTCTTCAAGTCTTGCCAATTTGATTTGAAGATCTTGCATTCCTCGTATAATTTCTTCCATCCCCATATCTGCTTTCCTTGATAAGGATGTTGAAGGTTGAACTGTAGGCATTGTTGGTGGTGTTGTACGTATTGGAGCTTTGGGTGCTTGTACTGTTTTCGGAATATTGCTCCTATCCTTCCTCCTTTCTCTTTTTATAAGCAACTCCACCGCATCTTCAACATTCTTCCACTTTGTTGTCAATCCTTCATCTTCTTCTTTGTCTTCAAGAAGGAGTTACAATTTCCCTTGCAATTCTCCATCAGTAGCTTGAAGAAATAGATCAACTTTGTTCGGCTCCAATGTCAATTTTTCTACCTTCGACAATTGAGAGTACAGCCTCTCAAATTCCCTTAGTAGCTCTGTTGCTTGCAAATTCTTATTAGGCCGTTCAATCCATTCCAGAAACAACTTTTTAGTAACGCGATGAGCATCTTCTAAGAAATATTCATCTTTCAATGCATGTGAAAAAATCTCCCATGAATTCCCATAACGATCCGTAATCGATATAATATGGTCTCTTATCTTTGGTATCGTGGCAAGTCCAAATAATTCAACCATTTTCTTCTCAGAAATCCGATTTAATTCCATTTCAAGAACATAACATCTTAAATACCTTGAAATATTCCTTCTATGAAATTGATCAATTTTATTGACCACTGCTTGCAATGCTTTGGTTGCCAAAGCTTCCTTTCGATCATTGCTTTGCTGTTGCTGCATTGATAATGAGAAGGCTTGAAACATACTAGCAATAGATGGATCCATGTGCATACCTTGTCCTTTAGAAGAACCCCCACCAGAAACTCCTCCCAAAAATCCTTCAAAATTTTTATTTTCGTTTTCCATAAAAATAAAAATAAAACCAAATGAAATCCAATACCTTCTACCTCAAGCTTTCACGTCGGGTTCACCACTTTATGTCGTATTACGTGCTTTCCTACTCGAAAATGCATCGGACGTCTGGCTGTAGAAGGTAGTATGGAGATTTGCTAATATTCAAGCAGTCTATCGGTTTTTGACTATTGGAATATAAACGACTGCAAGAATATACTATAAATCTATACGGATGTCCTTCGACTGCTTGTCGAAGTCCTTTTTGTCCCAACCGATAGGTCTCTAGACGTTACAGAGAATCTCGAATAACCCAAACTGCTAATCTTCGATACCGCTTATACTCACGATCTTGTATCCACTGACTGTCTCGTTAGATTAATCCAATAAATTTCATTCACTCCACATATTCAATCCTATAGACACTCTTTTAATTCTTCATCATAGACATAACTCGATTTCATAAAACAGTCAAGAGTAATCACACCCACTTCATTAAAATCCTGATTCACTAGTACAACACTGACTTCAGCAACGATTGCCTCAGTCTTTCCGAAACCCTATGAAGAAAAAAAAACCCCAATTCTCTATCTTTTTTTCCTGCCTCGGAGCATGAAGCTAGCTCTTCGACCCTTCACAAACTTTATTCTCTCCCCTTCAAAAACTCATTCTCTCCCCTTTCATTTTTTAACCTATTCTCTCTTTTAACCCTAATTCTCCCCTCTTTCAAACCCTAATCTCTGAATTTCTTCAATCTTCCGTCTTGGATCCGGAATTGGCTCCTGCCATCAGAGCTTTCTCCTCCGTTTTTACCTTTAAGAGATCTTTTTACCAAAAACAACATTCCATGAAACGGCATAGAGAACAGGACAGCCTGAAACAGAATCGAACCCCCGTAATCGGGACCACATTGAGTCGCCCGACCAATTCAGGTCTCATATTGGCTAAGACACCTGTAGTAAGACCTGGATGTTCCCGCAATTGGATCGCATTGGGTTGCCCGACCAATTCAGGTCTCATATTGGGTAAAAGGCCCGTAATATGACTTGGATTGGATGTCTTGAAATTGGATCCAATTGGCTCTTTGAACTAGGCTCACCTATCTTTGAATTGTTCTTTTCCTTCATGCTGACTCCCGTTATTGGAATCGAATGGAGCATTTCAGTATGCCTCGGCTGAGTGTAACGGGGTGACTGAACCTAGCCTCTCAGTATTTGCACTGGAATTGGTCGTTGCTCCTAATATTCGAGGTAACTGAACATTAATAAAAGTCCTCTTTCTTTATATTTTCACAGTATGCGGATGGAACGTACACAGCGACGTATGCAGTGGCGAAACGAGGAGATTACATGGTGAGGGTGGAGTGCAACGGGCATCCGATATCGGGGAGCCCGTTCCCGGTCTTCTTCAGCGGCGGGAATGTGCCTCTCGGCGTTAGTATGATCCCCACATCGACACCTATGCTTGGTGCTTCGTCCTACATCGGTGTAGGTCAGCAAATGGGGGCTTTCAGCATGCCGGGGATGTTTCCAGGTATGTTGGAATTGGGGTTTGTGACGGAGGCTTCAGGTGGGGTCTTCCTGCCAGGCCTTGGGGCTGCTTTTGGTGAAGTTTGTAGAGGTTGTTTGCATGGACGATGTACTAGGACAGATTGCAACTACAATCACCCTTCTTAGAATTAATTGATGGCCGCCTTGACAGCAGGGAGCACAATGGGAGGATTGAGTCAAATGCCCATGGCGCCGTCTGCTGCAGCAATGGCTGCTGCACAGAGCATTGCGGCAGCAAATGCTTTTCAGGCGGCACAAGCAGCTCAGCAGCAGCAACAACAGCAAGCAGGTGTGTTACATGAGTTTTTGTTAATTTATTTAAATGAGAAACAATAAGTTAATTTTCACATCCGTTGACATATGATATTTGAATACTCATCGTTTCTGAAATCTG